GCTCTGCTTCCTAGGGGTTTTTGGCCTCCTTTGCTTTCAGATGGAGTCGGGGGGGGTGGGGGTGCGATGGGGGCTGCCCCCAGCCCTGGACCTGCTCTCCACCACCGCACCTTGTCCCTGTGCCCCGCCATTGCCCCACCTCTTCTCCCCTCCTGCTTGCCCCTTCTTGTCCCCAGCCCCCACCAGTGCCCTGTCTCACCAGTCCCCCCCCCAGTGCCCATCTCACCCATCCCCATTGCCCCAGCTCCCTCCCGTTGCCCTGTGGGGCCGCGGGACATGGTTGGGCAGGGCCCTGCGGGGGTGCTGGGTGCCCCAGGCAGGGGCTCTGGGGGCTCTGGGTGCTCACCCCCCCTCTCCCCTCTCCTTGCAGGTGTGGAGCTGCGCAAATGAGAAACGGGTGAGCAAGAGCGGGATGGCGGCGGGGGACCCCACTCCCTCCCCATGTCCCCAGCCCCAGGACACGCTGCGACACTCGCACGGTGACAACGGGGCCCCTGCTCCCCCCAGCACCCACTCACCCCTGCCTTGGGGCACCCCAGGGTGCAGCACCCAGCACCCCTGCACCAGCTCACAGCTCCCCCCATGGCACCCCAAGACAGCAGCCCCCCTGCAGCAGCAGGGCTGGACCCAGGGCCGGCCAGAGACCCCGGGGGTACAGGACAACCCGGGGGGTGTCTTGGGGGACCAGCAACTCCCAAAGTCGCACACGCTGATGCCACACACACATTGCACGCACAGCGCTGCACGTGCATGGCACATGCTGTACACAGCCCCTGTGTGTGCACTGCGCACACTGCGCCTGCAACACACAGTGCAAACACTGTGCACTGCACACACTGCACGCACGGCCCCTGTGCATGCACTGCATGTGTTATACATGCTGCACACACCACACACGCCACACACCCAGAACACGTGCTCTGGGCACGCTGCAGAGGCACCAGGCACAGCACCAACAGACACTGGACACACACTGCACATGTTGGATGTGCTGCACATGCTGTACACGTAGACGCTGCACATGCTGCATACCTGCAGGCACAGTGTGCACTGCACTGCACGGTGTGTGCTGCATGCTCTGCGGGTGCCTCCACTGCATGCACTGTGTGTGCTGCACACAAAGGCACCACATGCACTGTGCAGACACTGCACGCACACTGCACACGCGCTGCGTCCCCACAGATACTGTGCGTGGATTCAGGCTGTGCCTACACATTGTGCACACTGCACACGTTGCACGCACTGCACTCCTTGCACACGCACCAAGCTGTGCACGCTGCACACACACCACACACATACGCCGTGCCCTGCATGCTGCAGGTGCAGACATTGCGTTGTGCATGCTGCACGCACGGCGCACGGACACCGCACCCCGGGCACTGCGCGCTGCACCTGCACTGCGCACACTGCACGCAGTGGCCGTGCAGCACAAACTGCCCTGCGCACGTGTGCCCAGCCCCGCGCATGCACACCCACGCCGCGCACACGCTTCACACGTTCCACCCCACGCTCAGTCCACTGCACGCGCACCCTCCTGCTCCCCACCGCGCGCACCCCTGCACGCACCCCGGGCACCCCAGACCTGCCCGCGTGGGCGAGCCGCGCGCTGCGCACATCCCCGTACCCGCACAGACACGCGCCTGCTGCAGACGCGCTGCTCGCACCCACGCTGCCCACACAGGCCCTCATCGTCCACCTTGCGCACAGACACCCCGCACGTGCGCAGCCTGGGCAGCACCCCACGCCCACCCCCTGCACGCCGCCTCTCGGGACCCCAGTTATTCCCTCTCGGAATTACCTGACGTTCCCTCTCCTCCCCCCCCACCCATTTGGGCATTAGCCGAATTTTTGCCGGCGGCTCTGGGCGATGCAGCGCCTTCCCCTCAGCACAAGTGCCCCAGGATTACGGCTTTCTGCCCCATTTCCATGTTTGCCTACATTCTTGCGGTAGAAAGGGACCTTAATCCCTAGCAAATACTGCAGGAAGATCTCAGATGCCGGATAAAAAGCTTACAGAGGAAACGTTGCAAGGGTTGAAAATGCTTATAAGCATGCAGAAAAAAAGTTACTAGCCACGGGACGGCGCCGGGTCGCTTCAGCCGCACTTGGGGACCGACACTGGGTCCTCCAGCAGTTCAGGGCCAGCCTCGTAGCTCATGGGGAAGCGGGGCTGGAGGAGAGGAGCTGGGCTGGGAGGAGGGAGCTGACCCGGGCTTGGTCCCGTCCACGCCAGGGCAGGGGGGAGGTCGGGTCGGCTCTCAATGATGGCACTGTCTTAAATCCTCGGCTTTAGGTGAAATTTGACTTTAGTTTCGGGTGGGTGCATCGGCCTGGTTGCATCTCACCGTGGAGCCAAGCACAGGGTGCCCAGGGCACCGTCCCCGGGACCCCAGGTCGGTCCCTGCCACACCGCGGCCCCGGGATAACGCTGCAGCAGAAGAGAGGATTACGCCTTTGCGTAACCTGTTTCTGGGGCTGCCCCATCCTCCCGTCCATCCACTTGTCCACCCGTCCCCGGCCTGGGGTTGCATGCGGGGGGTCCGATGTCCCTGCGCCCCGGCTAACCCCCGCGGTCCCCTCGCAGGCACCGCCATGTTCCTGAATAAGTGCGAGGGGGACCTGGGTGAGCTGCGGAAGCCAGGGGACGGCGAGGGCACCCCACCGGCTGCCGCAGAGGAGGAGCAGCCCAAGAAGAAGCACCGGAGGAACCGCACTACCTTCACCACCTACCAGCTGCATGAGCTGGAGCGCGCCTTCGAGAAGTCCCACTACCCCGACGTCTACAGCCGCGAGGAGCTGGCCATGAAGGTCAACCTGCCGGAGGTCCGCGTGCAGGTAGGGAGGATGCCCGGTGGCCCCAGCACCCCGGATCTGTCCCATGGGCGGTGGCAGAGGGACCACCCCAGTGCTGGAGGGCTGCTCCCAGCTCCACTGCCACCGCCTCGCTCTGTGCCTCAGTTTCCCCATTGCTTGAAGCGGGAGCAGCATCTCTGCAGAGTCAGCTGCTCCTGCCAAAATCAGAGAGAGGATTTAATGGTGAGCCTTGTTTCCCCATGAGGTCCCAGTTCAGCCCATATGCCAGAGGCTCCCTTTGGGCAGGGAGATGGTTTTTAGAGATTTTTTCCCCCGCTGGTGGCAGCTGCTCCCATCCCTCCTGCTGATCCCACTTGCATCCCTCCTGCTGGTCCCGCAGGAAAGAAAGCACCCAAACCTCAGCTGCTCATGACCTCAGTCTAGGGCTGGGAAAGCACAAGATCCTCAGGGATTTGGGGGTTTTAGGGTTGCGGGAGCGGTTCCGGGGGGTGGCGGGGTAGGGGAGGTTTCGCTCCCGGGGCTGCAGGAGAAGGCTCTGCCCAGGGAGGCACAGCCTGGAGAAGAGCCTGGGGTCCCGCCAGTCTGGTGCCCCCTGCCCCTGGGGTTGATGGGGTGAGAGCAGGGTGAGGGAAGGGGTCAGGGAGTGGAAGCAGCAGCAAACCCACTGCAAAGCAAGGCAGTTATCCCTTTACAAATGAACCGAGTTTCCCAGGGCTCAGCCCCAGTCCAGGGCAACGCAGCCTTTTCTGGGGGATGTCCAGACTGTAGGGACACATCTGCCGAGCTCTCTGAGCAACGACCGGTTTCATGGAATCATAGAATCATTTGGGTTGGAAAAGATCACCAAGTCCAACCGCTAACCCAGCACTGCCGAGGCCACCACCAAACCATGTCCCCAAGCACCACATCTCCCCGGCTTTTAAATCCCCCCAGGCATGGGGACTCAGCCCCTGCCCTGGGCAGCCTGGGCCAGGGCCTGACAGCCCTTTGGGGAAGAAGTTTTTCCCAATACCCAACCCACACCTGCCCTGGCGCAGCTTGAGGCCGTTCCCTCTCGTCCCATCGCTTGTTCCTGGGGAGAAGAGACCGACCCCCCCGGCTCCAGCCTCCTTTCAGGCCGTTGCAGAGAGCGATGAGGGCTCCCCTCAGCCTCCTCTTCTCCAGGCTGAGCCCCCCCAGCTCCCCCAGCCGCTCCTCCCCAGCCTTGTCCTCCAGCCCCTGCCCCAGCCTCGCTGCCCTGCTCTGGAAATGAAGTTTGCACCAGTATAGCCCAGTGTCCACCAATAACTGTGGCCAGCCCATGGGAGACATCCCATTCTCAGCCCAGCCATTCATCTTTACCCCCGCTTTGCATCGCGCGGCAGACGGCCGTGCCCTGTGCTGCTGGGGGCTCCGGGGACACAGGGACCAGCGCTCTAACGGGCAGCTCCCGCGGGGCGAGACGTCACCGTTGGCCTTGGCTCGCCGGTCCCTCCTGTTCCTGCCGGGTTTTGGTGCAACTGTGGCAGTTTGGCTTCTAAAAGCTTTTACTGAGGGGCTTTTGAAGAGCAGATAACATTATACCAAGGATTGTATGGGTGTTTGTGGGGTCGGGGTGCACGTTCCCGTGGAGCAGCGAGGGCGGGGGCTGCACGGTGACACCTCTCGCCTTCCACACCTCGGAGATGCCCTCCGTCTCCAGGGTTTGCAGGAGAGGTTTGGCAGAGGTGCGCGGTGTGATTGCTGGAGCCCCGTGGGACACCCCGCCTGGGACCCAACACACAGGGCACCCCATGCGGGGTGGGATACCCCGTATGGGGCACCCCGTGTGGGGCATCCTGCGTGGGGCACCCTGTGTGGGATACAGCACAATGGGGCACCCCACATGGGGCACAGCACATGGGGCACCCCGCATAGGGAACAGCAGGTGGGGCACACTGCGAGGGACCGACTGGGCACGGTGGGGCTCACCCTGGCTCTCCCCTCACAGGTCTGGTTCCAGAACCGACGAGCCAAGTGGAGGCGGCAGGAGAAGATGGAGGCCAGCTCCATGAAGCTCCACGACACCCCCGTGCTCTCCTTCAACCGGCCCCCCATGACGCCCAACGTGGGGCCCATGAGCAACTCCCTCCCGCTCGACCCGTGGCTGACGTCCCCCATCTCCAGCGCCACCACGGTCCACAGCATCCCCGGATTCATGGGAGCCCCCCAGGCCCTGCAGCCCCCCTATGGCGGGCACTCACTCCTCAACACCCCCCCGCCGATGGCGCAGGGCATGCAGCCCATTGCCCCCGCGCCCTACCAGTGCAGCACCACCTTTGTGGACAAGTACCCGCTGGAGGAGGTGGACCAGAGGAGCTCCAGCATCGCCTCACTCCGCATGAAAGCCAAGGAGCACATTCAGACCATTGACAAGACCTGGCAGCCCATTTGATGAATGCTCTGGCCCCGCCGGCCCTCGGCTCCTGCCCCTGGCATCGGCTCGGCCCCAGGGCGGGCGAGGGGGGTCACGGTGGGATGCTCAGCAGGACCAAAGCCGGCGTGGGGCTGGGATGCCGGGCTGCATCTTCCACCTGCCGAGCCAGCACCGTCGGTGGCAAGGGAGCGAGCCGGGGCGCTGGCGGGACCCCACTGTGGCGGAGCACCCCGGCAGCCACCCGCGGCCCCTCTGCCTTGCCGAGGCACCGGCCTGGGCTGAGGATCCGGCCGAGGGTCAGGCATCCGACCGTGCCACCGGGCCACCCACTGCCCCCGGTTGGACACCTCCTTTCCCCACACCCCTTCCCCTTCCCATTATTCTTAATTTTTTTTAATGCTGCAGATTTAAACAAAACCGAACAGAAAAGCTCTAGTTTCATAGGGAGTACCTGGGGGGATTTTTTTAGCCGCATCGGGGCGTGACGCTGGTTGTGCCGGTAGATGCGCTGGCACCGAGAAGATGGTTGTATCATGAGTAAAGAGATAAGTTGAATGGCTGCCGCGTGCTGGAGTCGGGCGCTGCCGGGGGCTCTGCCCGCCGTGCTGCTCGTTAGCGGTGCCGCTCGTTAGCGCACTGGGCTGCAGAGCCTCTGCCGGGAAGGAGCTTTCTGGGGGGAATGCAGGAGCATCGTCCCCAGGCACCCTCCTGCCCCACTCCCCTGGGCTGTTGCATGCGGGGCTGGGGCCGGATCCAGGCACGGGTGACCTGCTCCGGCCCCGGCTGCGGGCTGGGACCAGCTTTGTGCCACGCCACGGCCTCGGCGGCCTGTCGAGGGGCATCTGCTCGGCCATCCCTCGGGAGCTGCGCCTGCCGCCTGCCTGCCCTAATTGCTCCCCAGCGGTGCCCGCCCGGCCACATGTTGGCGGCACAAAGCTGCAGTAATTGTGCCAGCGGGAGGGTGGGCGGCAGCGGGACCCCTGCGGCCCCCGGATGGGGCTGGCGAGAGGAGGGGGCCGGCCAGGAGCCCTGGGGTCCCCACAGCGGGAGGTGACGGGCTGCATCAAGGCCAGTGTACCCCTTGCCAGCGGTTTCTGCCAGGTGGGAGCAGGGTGGCAGTGGCAAGGTGCCACGTCCCCGGGGGTCTCTGGCAAGGCTCTGCAGCCCCAAGGGGACCCTGCCTGCCCACCGGGGCTTGGGGCACAGGTGGCGGCAAGGGCCAGCATGGGCCAGCACAGCTCCGGTGGAGATGGCTGAGCCCACAGTGGCTTTGAGGTGCTGAAGCACGGCTGGGACAGTGAGAGACAGGGGCTCAGTCCTGGGCGAACAGGTGCCCCGGGTCCCCGGGGTGTCCTGGTGTGCCCCGTGTCCCTGGGGTGCCCCGTGTCCCTGAGGTGCCCCGGGTCCCTGGGATGCCCTGGGTCCCTGGCGAAGCGAGGCGAGCGCCGACCTTCCCCACACCAAAATGAGATGTTTCCCCTGAAAATCTTCCCACTCCAGACCCGATGGCAGCCACAACCCAGGGCTTCGCAGGAGAAGCCCCATCCCCACCGTGTCCCCATGTCCCTGCACAGGCCAGACCCCACTCAGCGCCAGGACCCTTGGCCGTAGCCCCCCCACCCCGGGGGGTCTCACCCCAATCCAACAGCCCCAGGGCTGGACTCTGACATCCCCACAGCCCCGGGGTCAGGCGGGACCGGCCAGGATGCCACTGGGCCAGGCGAGGCACTGACCCCGGCGAGACCCTTCTCCTTGTCCCCCGTCCCCCGGCTGCTGCTGCTCGTCTGCTTTGTTAGTGACAATTAAACCTTTAACAACGCATTAAATGCATAATCGATGCTCCCCCGGCTCCCCAGCCTGGCTAATGGGCCGGGGCCGAGGTGAAGCGGCCCCGGCAGAGGCGTGCTCCGGCGGGGAGATAATGAAGCAACGGCCGCGGAAGTAATGGGGTTTGATCCGGGGGAAGGGACGCGCTCAATGGGGGCTGCGCTTTTCACATGACATAATTGCCGAGGCTGGCGCCAGCCCGGGGCACCCCCCGGCCTCCCGAGCGCCAACAAAAGCCGGCTGGCGCGGAGAGTGGGAGGCTCAGCACCCCCCGACCCGTTTGATCGGAGCCTAATTGGGGCAAGGGTGCTCCCCCTGTCTTGCAACTGCCACCCAAAAGCGAGGGCGCAGAGAGGCCCCGGGATGAGGATGCGTCTCTCTGGGTCCCTGGGGTTGGGGGGTATGCGAATTATTTAAATGAGTTAATTTGCATGGGGTGGCACTGGCGCGCCCCAAGGCATCGTGGCCAGGGATGTCGGGGTACCCTCACCACAGGGGCTGGTTGTCCCTTCCCTCCCACGGGTGCCCCGGTGCTGCACTGCGCTTAGTGCAGAAACAGGCAATAGTTCTGGCCCCAAAAAATGCCGGTGAAATGCAGGAAAGCCGTAGGAGTGCCGAGCCGCCTGCCCTGCCCTCTTTATTGCTCTGTTCCTCAGCTGAGACCCGGTGGAGCACACCCCGCATCATCTGTGGCCTCTGGCACGTGGGGCCACGTTTGGGAAAAATCCAAGCAAAAAGGCATTTTTTTTCCCCCCCAGATCCCAATCCTGTCCTGAAATCGCTCGCTGCCCGTACAGGGCCTGCACAGCCCTGCGCCTGGGGTTGTACTGGGAGGACTGGGTGCTGCTGGGAGTGTTGGGGGCACCGGGGGGTTCTCCCAGCCCCTCGTGGTGGAGCAGGAGCCCTCCTGCTCCCACCTCCTTTAATCCCCTCCCGCAGGATTTGCCCCCTAATCTGCTTATTTCTCTCTATTTCTCCTAGGCCTGAATGAACTCAACGCTGCCCTGGCACGACGCCTCGCGCCGGCTGAGCCATGGGGTCTGGGCACTCTGCCCCCGGGCTGCCGGGCGGTGTCCTGGCACGTGGGGCTGGCACTGGCTTGGGATACGGGGCTGGCGCTGCCATGCCAGGAGACATGGGGCTGGCAGTGCCCTGTTTACGGGGCTGGCACTGTCCTGGCATATGGGGCTGGCACTGCCATGCCAGGAGATGAGGGGCTGGCGCTGCCTGTACCCGTGGTGGCAGTGCTGTGTACACGGGGCAGCACCGAGCTGCAGTCCCCTGCGCCAGGGGTCCCTGCCGTGCCACGCAGCGAGCCCTGCACCCCCTGGCACAGGCTGGGATGGGGCTCACCCCCTCCTGGCGTGCACCTCCGCACACGTCACCTCCGTCCCCTCCAGCCCCCTGCCCCACAGCAGGACAGACGTGGCCCCAGGGGACTGCAGTGACAACGGGGTGCCACACTGTCCCTCTACAGGGTGTGGGAGCTGGGGACCTCAGGGCTCAGGTTCTCCTCGGGGGTGTTGACCCAGGAGCTCCCCGCCGCCCCCCAGCTCCCGGGGGGGGAGGCGGAGAGGGGGCTGCCGGGCGGCGAGGGGGAGGCCACCAGCCGCAGGTTGAGCTTGGCGATGAGCGGCTTCCCCACGCTCACTGTCTGCTTCTCCTCCACAAAGTCATCCATGCCGCGGTAGCGGTACTGCAGGCAGACGGTGAACACCAGCTCCTGCTGCAGGGGCACCAGCAGCGTGGGCATCCCTCCTGGGCCACGGCCACGGCCGTGCCGTACTCCCAGCACTGGCCCCCCGCCCGATGTGGCTCTTACCCGCAGTTTCTGTAAGCCGCAGAGCCGGCTGTAGAGGCAGCGGGGGGGGCAGCCGAGGCTCCAGGCGGACGCCAGCGGGCTGCCCACCTCCTCCGGGCTCTCCTTGTTGGTGCACTTGAGGTCCACATCCAGCTCCTGCCACGGACAGCGTCCAGCCGTGGAAACCACCATGGGTCCCCCCACCCTATTCCCCAGCATCGCCCCAGCACGGGCTTCAGCAGCCCGCTCCCACCTCGGGTATGTCGGTGAGCTTGGCCTCACACTTGGTGATGTCCTCGGGGGTGGCCACCACACGGGTGTAGATGATCATGATGTTGGAGAACTCAGCGGCGAAGCCCAGCTGGACGATGACGCCACAGTCGAAGCGGAGGTGCCGGCTCTCCGGCAGGACTGGGGGAACAGCGAGCATGGGGCTGGGACCTGCAGGTGCTCAGCGCCAGAGCTGCACCCACGGGTGAGGTGACCACCGGGGTCACCCCGGAGTGGGGACACCGACGTGATGCTCCTGCCACCAGGCCGGCGCCAGTGGTTTCTCTCCTCCAGGGTGGGAGAAACCTGGCAGGTGCTGCCCACTGCCTCTCCCTGCTACTCGGCACCGTCCCCCCACCAGGTGCCAGCTCCAGCCAGGGTGGCCGTGACTCTCACCGTGAGCCTTGGCCCACTGCAGGTTCCTGGCAGAGGACTCATCCCGGCCCGGAGGGCAGATGGGGTCCGTCAGGGCTCGTCTCTCCGAGAGGTTGCTGCGGAGCTCCAGCGCCTGCCGGCCCCGTGTGATCTCCAGCGTGCCCATGTCTGCGGGGGGCACGGGGGTCAGTGGGGGCCATCGGTGGGGTCACTGTCCCCCACCGCTCCCCACTCACCCTCAGCCACCTTGTCCAGCAGCACCGTGATCTTCTCGTCCTCCAGCAGCCAGCGCTTGAGGAAGCTGACAAAGACACCATTGGAGAGCTCGCCCTGGCTCAGCTCGTAGGCTTCGGCGTCCGCACACCTGTGGGGATGGGGCAGCGGTCGGCTCCATCGTGGCCTCCGTCACTCCCCCAGGAACCAGCCCCCGCTGGGGTGACAGCCCTGGGGAAGCCAGGGACGGGTGCCCACGGCTCTACCCACTCCCATCGACCCAACCGGCCACTGTGCCAGGGAGAGGTGGGAGCCGCGGCCGGATCCTGGATGCTTAAACATCATCAGCTCAAATCCCTCTGCTCTGGAGGAGTCTTGGGGCTTAATCCCCTCAGGTGCTGCCCGAAGCCAGGCAGCGCTGTGGGCATCTCCCTGCCCAGTAAGGGACTGGGGGCTGCCGCTCACCCACCACCTCCAGCATCGACCAGAAGGAGCGACGCTGCCGATACACGGGGCGGGGAAAGACACGGGTGCAAACAGGGCTGAGCCGTGGCAGGGGGCTGAGCCTCGGCCCCGCTCTGAGCCAGGGAGGGAGACACAGCGCCGCTGCCTTCACTGGGGGGTGGCAGGGAGGGGACCCACGTGGCGTAGCCGAAGACGATGTTGGCCGTGACCTGCAGCGCCCCAACCTGTGGGATGACGTCGTCGTTGAGGTTCCTGCAAGAGAAGAGCTGCTGGGCAGGGCCAGGACCTGCCGCTCCCCCAAACCCACCCCAAGGTACCCCAGACCCTGGGGGCTGCTCCATGCCCTTCTGCCCACCCATCGTGGCGTTTGCCGGCTCAACTGGGGCAGTGATGCTTTGGAGTGTCCAGACAAAGCCAATGGGCTTGGATGGGACCCCGAGGATGCCTCGCTCCTCTCCCCTGGGGAACCAGCACCCACAGGCACCCCCATGCCAGGACCTCCCAGCAGCTTGCCCCCGGGCTGGTGGCCAGGGCTGGGTCACCTCTTGCGGCACATGTCGAGCAGGAAGATGTTGAGGCCGGTGCGGCGCTGCTGCATGCTCCGCAGCACCCGCTGCACACACAGGCAGTGGGCCGAGGTGTAGGAGCTGGGCGCATCGATGGGCACCATGAAGCTGTTGCCAAAATTTTCATAGCCGTGCCCGGCGTAGTAGAGCAAACCTGCCAGGAGGGGCGGAGAGTGGGTGACATCCCTTGACCTGCCGGTGCCCACTTCTTGCCCAGCTGTCCCCCAAGACCCCGCCAGCACAAAACCACCCGGTTCCCCCCCGACTGGAGCCACCCTGGCAGATGCTGCCGCACCGTAGACACCCTTGTCGAGGAGGAGGAGGAACTCGTTGACAGCCATCTGCATCTCGGCCTTGCACAGGTCCAGCAGCGAGACCACCTTGAAGTCGAGCTGGCGGAGGAGGGCGCTGAGGGCGTGCACGTCCACCATGGGCGCCTTCAGCTGCTTGTGGTGCAGGTAGTGCATGTTGCCAATCAGCAGGGCCACTTTGTCGGTGGCTGTCAGGATAGGAGAGGGAGGCGCTGGGGACGGAGTGGGACACTCCTGCTGTCCCTGCTACCTTCAGCCCGGTTGTGGCCAGTGTCACTGTCCCCGGGTACCAGGGTGCCCTGTGGCATCCCTGCCTCTCCCCAGAGTGCTGCACCCAAAGCCCCCCTGACCGAGTGGAGCCTCGTGGGGTGACACTGGTGACACTGGGGATGGTCACAGCCCCACAGGGCCACCAACCCCTCCTGGGCAGGCTCTTACCATACAGCTGGCCAGGGCTGCCACGCTCTGGGGAGCCTGGAAAGAGAGAAACGCCATGCCACAGCCCCGTGATGCCTGGGGAGCACAGCAGGCAGAGCAGCGGGGACCTGCCTGCTCTGCCCCCACCTACCTCCATCCCCCTCCTGCCAGGAGCCTCCGGACGTGAAGAGCCGCGGGCCTACGGCAAACAGGGGAGTCAGGGAGCCCCGTGCATGGTAGCATCTGCTGGCACAGGCTGGAGCCCCCCAAAACGTGGGACAGCCACGGGAGGGCTTTACGGGCGGGCAGAGCAGAGCCAGGACACCCCACGTGGGGTGGGAGGCCATGGAGGTTTGTCCGGGGCCCTCACCGATCTCCACATCCACTTCCCGGCTCCACACCTCGTGGAAGAGGTTGAACACGCGGCAGGAGTAGCTGCCCCGCTCAGCTGTTGTCACCAGCTTCACCTGCCGGCAGGACGGAGCAGCCAGCTGGGGCGGCGTGCCATGCCGTGCCAGGCCATGCCGTGCCGGGCCATGCCATGCTGGGGATCACACCATACCTGGAGCCGGGGCGCCTGTGCACCCTCCACGGGGCGCCGATTCCTGAACCACTGGTACTGGGGTGGGGGGTTGCCGATGGCTCTGCACTCCAGCACCAGCGTGTCCCCCTCTGCCGCAGGATCTGCAGCCCCGCCATGGTCGGGCAGTAACCGCTGGCTGGGGAGGGGATGGGGCAGAAAATCCGGCACCCGGCCATGGCAGGGCTCTGCTGAGCTGCCCCCAGGCCCCAGGTCCCTCACCAGCAGGCCCTGGCGCCCACGGGTCGTGTGAGCCAGTGGGCACGAGGAGGACACAGGGCATTCAGCTCCTCCATGGGCACCATCACCCCAGCAAGCCCACAGACCCTTGCAGCTGAGCAAGGGTGCAACATGGCACGCGATGCTCTATGGGAGCCACTCCATTCCCAATGGGGTGAGCAATGCCCTACAGGAGCCACCCTGGTCCCGACGGGACAAGCGGTGCCCCACGGGTGCCAGCCCGGGGACGCAGACCTCGGGGCCCACCTGAGCTGGGGCTGCTGCTCTTCTCCACCCGGACGTGGGCCCACCTGGAGAAGGCGAAGGCGGCCCCGCAGTTCACCCGGCAGATGTACCACTCGGGCTGGCCCGGCGGGGCAGCCGTGTCGATCACCAGCTCCGGGGCTGTGGCTCCGGGCACCTACGAGACAGGAGGGGGCCAAGGAGTCAGGGGATCCCTGTCACCCATCCGGGTGCGCTCACCACAGCTGGGGCCCGGGGGCCCTGCTCAATGTGGTGCAGCGGGACCTCACCTCCTGCTTCCCGCAGAACCACTGGTACGTGAGCCCCGGCGGGCCGGTTGCCCAGCAGGTCAGGGACACCCGCGTCCCCTCCATCACCACCTGCGACTCCGGCTGCACCGTGATGCGGATCATGTCCTGGACTGTGGGAGAGGAGAGACCAGCCTGGGCTGGCTGAGACGCCTGTCCCACACCATTCCATCACATCCAGTCCCATCCTGTCCTGTCCCATCATACCCTGTCCCACCCCCAACAGCCTGTCCTCTCCCATCCCACCCAATCCTATCACACTATGTCCCATCGCACCCCCTGTCCTGTCCCAACCATCTCATCCTACCTTGTCCCATTCAGTACCATCCCACCCACCCCACCCCATCTCATCCTGTTCCATCCTATTCCACCCCACTCTGCCCCACCCCATCCCATCCCTTCTTGTCCCATCCCAACCTGTCCAATCCTGTCCCATCCCATCCCACTGGTCCCATCACAGCCTGTCCCACCACATCCCGTTGCCCGTCCCCCCATCCCATCACAACACATCCCATCCTATCTCACCCTACTGCATCCATCCCATCCCATCCCATCCCATCCTGGCCAGGGCCCCACTACCCAAATCAAGACCACCAGCTGGAAGAGCTGCTCTTCGTCTCCCCCTGCTTTCCTTCTGCTGAGCCCCTGTCCCCCAGTGGCCCTCTCCAGGCCCTGCGGGACCCCGCTGCCTGTCCCTACCGGCACTGCTGAGGACCTGGCAGGCCTGCGTGTGCCCCATCCTCTCCAGGCAACCCAGCAGGTACTTGAGGGTGCAGTCACGCTCGGCCAGGAGCTGCAGGAGGCACTGCGTGGGGCTGCCACAGGGCTCCAGCACCTTCAGCGAGCACATCTCCAGCTCCTCCGCACTGCAAGGCACCCAGAGCGCTCAGCACCGTAGCCCACCTCCCGCCCGGGAGGGACAGGGACCCCCGCCGGGGGACTCGGCAGTGCCCCCAGCCCAGGCTGCGGCCACGATGGGGTGGCCGGGGGACCCGCATGCCCCTCGCTCAGCCCATGGCAGGGCTGTGCCCACGTGCATTTTGTCACCCAGTGGGGGACAGACCCCCGGAGATGCCCCCCCACCCCTACCTGCACTTGAAGCGTTTCTCCGCCCCGGCCACCTCAGCCAGCTTGCGCCAGCCCCGGCCGGCGTTATCCAGGAGCTCGCAGAGCCGGGCCACCACCTCCTCACCCAGCGAGCCGATGGGCACGCTCCAGTCCCCCATCCTGTCCCAGCCCTGCCGCCACCTGCCTGGGGACGCAGAGCGGACAAGCTGTCAGCGGGTGACGGGGTGACAGGCACCTGCACCCCACTGGACACCGCCGGGCACTGCTCCAGCCAGGCACAGGGTGGCTCAGGAGGGAGAGCACCAGCCTGAGCTCGCCGGTGTTGGGTCACCTCCCCACAGGAGCCCGGGAGGGTTTTGGCCTCCCCAGGGAGGTGCTGGGAGCTGGCCAGGCAGTGCTGCTGGGTCTGGCCACCGGCAGCCAGCCAGGAACGACACAAGTGCCCCCTCCACGCCCAGAGGACAAGAGCTGTGACAGTGGCACAGGGGACCCCATTCACCCCCCAGCCTGAGGCGAGGAGCCAGGGCCACGTTAGCCCAGCCCCAGGACAGGGACCTTCCCGGGACAGGGTCCAAGGAACTGGAAAGAGGGGATGTCCCCTGTCACCTTCCCCGTCCCTTCAGGGGACACGGAGAATGGGGCCCATCATGGGGGGACGAGCCCGGGGACCCCTCTCCTTCTGGCAGAGACCCCAGTGGGTTGGAAGCAGCAGCCCCCTCGCTGTCACCAGGCCTCTGGAACCAGCATGAGCACTGTCGGGCCACGCCGAGGAGCCCGCAGAGGGGTTAGGGGAGGGGACATGGGGGTCCTGGGGCTGTGACGCGCTTCAGCTCCCCTTGACCCCGGCAAAGGCTTCGGCAGCGAGGGGAGCGGGGCATGAATCACCCTGGACGGGGGCAGCACCCAGGGACGGGCTCTCTCCTCCCCGGGGCCCCTCCCCACCGACCCACCCCGAGTGGGCGCTTGTCCCCAGGACCAAGCCATCTGCAGTGGCTGGGTGACACTCACCCAAGCAGGGGGGCTCCAAGATGGAGGGAAGGGACTGGGGTGCCCCCTCTGCTCACCTGCTGCTGGATTTGGGGGGCTGGACACGCTGTGGGGTGGCGAGGGTAGGGCAAGCCGCAGGGCGGGCACGGCGGGGACAGAGCACTCACCGCTGGACACGGCCTGGCCTGAGCCCCGTGAGCTCCGAGGGCGCGCGCTGAGCCCCACGCAGAGGAAATGAGGGTTGAACCCACAGCCTCCCCCAGCCCCCCTGCGCCGCGGTGCAGCTGCCTGCCCGGCCGCCCCGCAGACCCCCGGGGGAGCCAGGCACGGCCCACGGCCCCAGCCCCTGGGCGTGGGGCACCGGGGACGCCGCTGGGCCGGGCGGTGGCTCCATCGCCCCTTCCTCACTGCCGGAGGACCTCTCCAGTGGCTGCTGTGTCCCCACAGCCCAACTCGAGGCCAGGCAGGAGCTGCAGGGCAGCGAGTCCGGGATGGAGACAAACCAAGGGGACAGGGACACCTCTCAGCCAGGGAGCCCAACGCACTGGCAGGACCGAGGCCCAGGGGAAGCTGCGGGCTCTGCCAGGCCGGAGCCGGCCGAGGACACGTGGGGATGGGGCAGTGAGGCCCCTTTGCTGTGAGGAAGACTCTGCCTTCACCACACAGCCCAGCCAAGCCGGGACCCCGGCGCCCCAGCAGCTGCTGCTGCGGAAGGAAGCGAGAGTGTGGCGCGGGGGTGGCACTGGCGCAGGGCCGGCACTGGCGCGGGGCCGCCGTGTCCCCCCTCACCTCGCCCGCTGCCCCCATGGCACTGCCAGAGCCTGGTCCCCATCCTCCCACCCCCGGGGAGCACTGGCTGCTCAGCCCCCAAAGCCCCCCCCAGGGGACACAGGGACGCCCGTGGAGCCATTCCCCACCCCAAACCCACTACAGCCCCACCGCAGGACCCTGAAGCCCCAGCCGTTGCAGCGCAGACTGTGGCAGAGCAGGGAGCAGGACCCATTTGGTGGCGTAGGCTCCCTCTATGAGCAAAAAATTGAGCTTCTGTTTTAGCAAATACACCTAGAATTTGCGGCCTGCGTTGCCTCAGCCCCTCATCAGCCACCAACACAAGGGGGGACCCACACTGAGCCTGCCGAGGGCCTGGGCTGACACAGCCTCCGTAACAGGTATCGGCCTCACCAGAGATTTATTACAAGTTTATAGCAAGAAGAAGAGACTGAAAGCGGGAGCTGGTCCCGGCGCACCAGCGCTGGCACTCAGGGCGGTCCTGAGCTCCGCAGCGCCTACAGCTTCTTGCCCTTCTTCAGCCTGTTGCGGTGCCATGTGTTGTACTTCCGCAGGCGCCTCCAATATTCGATCGAGTTGGGGTCCAGCTCCTCCAGCTTCTTGGGGGGCCCGAGGTGGATCTTAAAGAGCCTGGGGGGTGAACGCAGAGGATGTGAGGCCGCGGCATGGAGGGCAAAGGGACAAGCACGGGACGGAGCGATGGGAGTGCGTGACCAGGACACGCGGATCCCTCGGCCACGTCCGCAGTGCGGCCTGCTCTCCTCCCCCGGCCCTCGGGGAAGGTCTCTGGGCTGCGGAGCGGGAGTTTTCCTCCTCCCAGCATGGTTCCCTGTCTCTCCCGTCCGTGCCTCTGGGACGGCAGCTCGGCAGGGACGGGCACCCCGGGAGGGACCCCCCTTCTGCACCACCTACCAGTCGGGGTACTCGGAGTCGGGCTTCAGGGCCACCTCCGGGCCGTCCTTGAAGTAATTGACCCCCATGGCGTAGGTGGCGAGCATGGTGGGGTCCGTGCACACCTCCGGCCCCTTCAGCACCTCCTTCGGCAAGTTCTTGCCCTTGGACTTCATGGCTGCGGGGACAAGGGCACGGTCAAGGCCGGGGATGTGATGGGGGGGCAGGGGCGCAGGACGGGGGCTCCGCCAGGGCCGGGGAC